GAAAGTAAAAAACCCCTGTTAAGTTATACAAAATGAAAATCCGTTTGTACATGGTGAAATTTTTCTTGTTTGCCCATTAGTCTCCTCAATGGTTTAATCGATTATTTGTTAACTGATTTTTTTTTTTTTTTTTTTTTCTCCTCATGTGTTGGGATCTGGAGTTGGAGCTAGTAGCTCCAGATTCAAAGGGGTGGTTTTGAAGTGCTTTATGAGAAGTTTTTTTTTTTTAATAAAAAATAAAAACAGTAGATTTTTGAAAAAAAAAAAAACCATAAATCACTAGACAATAGTGAAGTATAGTGCCAAAACTATCTCTACGTAGTTTGGTAGTTTTTTTGGGATTCTTGATATATTATTTAGAAGTCATGAGTTTGAATTTCCACGACTACTAATAATGGATAACCACTAAAAGTTTATCTTCAGGGCCTTAGAGTTAAGGGACTAGTTGAGGTGTGTGTAAACTAGTCTAACAACCTCGAATACAAAAAAAAAAAAAAAAAAAAAAAAAAATTATATTGGCAATTTTATCAACATATAGAGAATATCCTTTGAAAACGTTTTGCATGATTGTAGAATATAAAAAAAAAAAAAAAAACTTTAAGTCACAGGGTGGGTTCTTTTTAGATAAGGCTTTCATATTATGTAATCAATGAATGTTTACTTTCCTAGTTGATAGATAGATAAAACAAAAAAAAAAAAAAAAAAAAGGAAAAGAAGTGAAATAGGCTTTAAAAAGAAAAAGAAAAGTAGAGAGATGATAACGTAAGATAAATGCATAAGTGAGATGATTACATTACGCACAAGACCCAGAAAATAAAAGATGGTGGGGTTTGGTGGTGGTATCGGCAATGGCAGCCCACCAGTTTAGGCCCCAGTGGGTGGTTGATCAATCACCATTTGGGCATTTCGTTTTCAATTCAACCTTTTGTGATGCCCATAATAAGAAACAACTTACAATAATAAAGTAGTTTTGCCCTATAATTGGCGGATTGCTCCATCGCTTAAAACTTTCTTTAGAAACTGCTTCTATCAAACAAACATATAAAAATATCTATAAAGAAAGAAACCGCCTTTTTTTTCTAGAGACTTATTATTTAATTATGTTTTCTCAGGTCATCGTTATACAGTTGAGTGATGTGTGCATAGTGTGAAGCCAAAGCTCACCGTCGTTTCATTCTTTTAATTAATTATCTATTCCGTTGGTGATGTCCCATCAAATATCAGAATAATACTGGCTATGAATTCACGAGTTTTAGCTTATTATTATCAAAGTATGTTGGAGTTGGACCAATCTGGTGTCCATATCCCACCTTCCAAAGCTTTATTTTCATATATTCAATTTCTTTTTCTGCTTTTATTGGAAATTAGAAAAGCCATCGATGACCACCTCTGCAGGTAGTAGTTGTTCTTTTACTTACCAACTAAGAAACATATAAAAATTGGAAATGAAGCACTTTACCTAACCAACTATTTAAAAAAAATGCTTCTTCTTACTAGGGATTGCCAATATAAGTGTTTGAGGTTGACTGTCTTACTTAATGCCTTCAAATTTAGCATGCGGTGACCACATTATATGTAATATCAAAACACCAATTTATATAATAGCATTAAGGAATATTATGTGCGTATAAGTTAGGCAGATAGGTAAATAAATGAAAGGATTAAAAAAGAAAAACCAATACATGAAACATGTGTTTCACGTGGTTAACATAAAATGTAAGATGTCGGGATTGTTTTGACCAGTTTTACCTCAAATTATTTAGCTTTTTCGTAGTGGTGATCATTTTAAGATGTTAAATAATAATGCCTTTAACTTAAACCGCGTTACTGAACCTCCTTTTGATAGTACCTTAATGTACAAATATAATTAACTATTAAACCCACTTATGTTTTAAAATTAATTAATTTATTAACCTATATTATATGTGCTGTCTAATCCACTGAGTTTAAGCCGAGAAAGCCGGCCCTCAGCTTCCCTTTTTATCACGTTTATGGTGTGAACCGAATGTGATAATGATGGATTCGGTTCACTGTTTTTGTAGTTCGATCCAAATTCCAAATGAACATGTTCTAAAATAAAATAAAATTCCACGTAAAGTAGATAATTAAAGGTTCTTGTGTTAATCTTTTGTTTCCATTGACTAGAATAAATTTAATTTAATTTCTTAGTTATTTTAAACAAAACTCCTGTTTATCATGTGATTGATTTCCAATTGTTATATCAAAAATCATTATAAAATTTAATTAACTGAAAATTAACAGACTTGATTAATAAACTATTAATGGACATTAATATTGTTGAACATCATCTTCATCCTTTGAATTTTCATTAGACTTTAAGACTTCTATGATACAGATCGATGAATAGGTTGATTTTGATAGATGCCAAAATGAAGCTGATACATAAAATAAAATATAGTCACCCTAAAGTAAAGAGATGTTGATGGGCCTATAATGACACATTTTCAATGTTAACATCTTATAATATTTTCTTGTGGCCATATTTCATGATATAGACCAAGAACAAGATTCATGATCATGATCCCTTGTGTAAATTCTGCTTCTGATTAAATCTATTATTCATGCTAATCTGATTAATCATAATGGTATACTCATGTGTCCTATTAAAGTGAATCTTTATAGTAAAATGATAAATAACAGATGTTATTTTACCATTTTAAAATTAAATTAAAATACTTGTTTAGAAAGATTTTTAACGTATGTCCTTTATGCGTACATTAATACAGTTGAGAACTGTCAAATGTACAAAAGGAATAAAGAGAAGAAAATCAAATTGTTGTAGAACATTGTCACTTTTTTGAAAATAAAAAGCTATTGCTTTTGTGGGTGACCATAATTCAACGGTATCTTCGTTTCAAAGGTATCCTGTTTTTCCTTTGATTTTTCATTAGAAAATCTCAATAAATGTATATATATACGGGTCATGCATGTTCATGGATCGATCTACATTGAGAAAAAAAAGAAGTTAATTTAGATATTCATAGATTAATCAGGAGGGTGCTATATCAGTGCACAACTATATCATATATTTCATGATTGATGGCATGCACATGTATATGATGTATCAAAGTTTTTCTCCTTGTCTTGGTCTTAGTTAATCAATGCATAATGATAATTAATTTAAATCCGACATGATTTATGAAGATTTATTCAACTAAGAATTTATACCGGGGCAATTCATATATAATAACAATTAATTAATAGGAATCTAATTCGTTATTGTATCCTCATTGAAAGAAGATATGTAAATGCAGATTTTGCACATTTTCATTGCTGGCTGGTAAGGTCAAAGTTTTATGTGGAGATGGCCTTCATTAAGATGCCTGCTTTAAATTAGCATCTAAGACCACAAGAATGGAAATGCATACGAAAATAAAAGCTGGATGCGAATAATATAATGGTTCTTCTGGATGCAAAATATATATTTGTCAAAGGAACAATAAATATTGCAGATATTAATGAATATATTTTCTGTGACAGCGGCTCCACCAATTAGAACAAGGATAATATATATGGTAGCAGTAACGGCATCTTTAATTTGTTGGAGTTAAATTTGCTGAATCAATTAAACATTATAACTTGAAATTAATTGGAAGAGGCAGAAAGTACAATTAGATTCCGGAATCCAACAAGTAAAGATGACCTGTTTAGTACTGTTTCAATGTTCCAAAACAGGAAAATAGTTGGTAATGAAACAAAAATTAATAAAAAGAATTATGGCCCTTAATCAGCAGTGTAAAGAAGACGAAAAAAGATCCTATCAAGAAGATTTCATATCTCCTTAAGATCTCAAAATCTTCAAGTATCCAACCTTACGATGATGATCTAAATTATCAATGGACCGCAAGGAATATATAATTATAATGATGTAGGTGATAAACAAACAAGAGCAGAAGGCATAGCCAGGTGTCCATGGCAACATGTTGCCGTTTTCTTTAAATCTATGCATTATATATATATATATATATATATAAAGATTCTCTATTTATATAAAAAGAAAAAGGATGAGGATCAGAAATGATATTAATTTGGTGCTCATGTATCGTTAACTGTGATTTGCTATTGTACTATGTATATTCTCATTTCTAAAACATCGAACAAAACTTATGGAGAAGATATATCTGAAGAGTGAAAATGGTTGTATGAGACTGCGAGAGAAATAATCGATTTCAGATGTCAAACATATACAGCTAATAACGTAATGAAAAGACAGAAGAAGATCTGTGCATGCAACTTGAGATAGGAAGGAATATGCTTTCATGGATATATATTTTTTTTTAATCTCTACCAATATATTGATTTTTTTTTTTTCTCTTTCTATTAATTACTTTACGTTTCTTTTGGGATTCTTTTTAATTAATTTCTTCAATTTGTTCATATATTATAGAAAAAGTTGCTATCGAATCCCTTCTTTAAAAGGCTAATCTTTGAATAGCTAGGTATACGCATGGAGAAGAAAAAGCAAAACTCAGAGAGAAATATATCTACACCCAGTAGAAATTAAATAAACAAGTTGAGAGCTAATTAATAGATCTATTTCTTTCTCTCGAGTTTTGATTTGTATAGAATAATTAATACAATTTCTAGGGCTTGGCAAATGAATTGAAATCGATCTTGGAATGCCCCAACAGTTCTCCTTTTTTCAAAAGGACCATTTCAGTGGTTAATATAAAAGTAAGACATAAAACGACATGTGCTCAAAGCAATCTCACATCACAAATAAGTAAAAAACTAACAAAAAGTAAGAGAAAAAGAAATGCACAATAACAAAAATGGCCCATTTAAAAAATGATTTATCATGGCTCGATCGCTCTGATGGTGTTGAAAGTGACAAGCACCCATTATATAAAAATAATGTCTTTAACAACCCCACATAAACCTTAATGGTTGCTTCATGGAAAATCATGACATTCAGTACATCCCCCTCCTTATAAATATATACACTCGAGTCAAGTGTAGTGTTGATTGTTATCTTTTATTCGTAACCATTTTTTTGTTTCCAAGTAGACCAGTGACCACTTCTTTCTGCACTAAAAGTTTTCAAGTAAAATATGAGTAGTTCTTCAGAGATGAGAGAGCAAGAGAAAGGAGAGATCAGAGGAAAGGAGAGTAAGAATAGTATAGCAATAATTTTAAGATATGCTGATTGGACAGATATTTTGTTAATGATGTTGGGAACTGTTGGAGCTATTGGAGATGGCATGTCTACAAACTGTTTACTTGTCTTTGCCAGCAGCATAATGAACAGTTTGGGATATGGTCATACCCAAAATCATGATAGTTTCATGGACGAAGTTGAAAAGGTTAGCCGTCAAGTCGTCAACACACTATCTCTCACTCACTCTTTTCTTTTTCTTGTTTCAACTAACTCTTTCTCAGCCACGTTTTTTTTTTTTTTTTTGATCTGGTAACAGTGCAGCTTATATTTTGTGTACTTGGGATTAGCAGTCATGGTGGTGGCTTTTATGGGTAATTTTTAAAACTTTTATTTGGTTTTTCTTTTTATGGATCTTTGATTTAATTTGCTTTTTGAGGATAAGGGCATGTTTGGACACTTAAAGCTAATTAGATCAAGAGTCCTTTGTGCTCCAAAGAGCATTGAAGAACTCAAGTTGGTAAAAAGGAGACAACAACTGTCATAAGGAAACGAGGTCATTTTATGGAACCCTAGAATGCCCAAATTTTGAGTAAACTACTCATTTCAATGCTATAAAACAAAAACCCTCGTATAAATTTAAGTAAAGAAAATGGCTCCGAGACTAATGAATATTTATAATTTGTTCTCACAGAAGGTTATTGTTGGAGCAAAACCAGCGAGCGGCAGGTGCTGAAGATCCGCTACAAGTATTTGGAAGCTGTTCTGAGACAAGAAGTCGGATTTTTTGATTCACAAGAAGCAACAACTTCGGAAATCATTAACAGCATATCAAAAGATACGTCTCTCATACAAGAAGTTCTCAGTGAAAAGGTAAATATTTTGTAATAGGAAAAGGATCTTAAGCACCTTTTCTTGACGACCCAAGAACGTGATATGACTCATGCACTCTATAAGAAATAAACATTTGATTGCAATCAATTGAATTCATGAGTTTGATTTCCAGATTTTCTGTGAAAATCAAATGGATTCATCGGGCCTAGTTCTATGTTCATCTTCTTCTGTTCTTCCATTTAATGGTTTAAGATATCTGAGTCCTTAATTATTTTGAAACGTTTTCTTTTATGTTTTGCAGGTGCCCATGTTTCTTATGCACGCTTCTGTGTTCATCTCAGGACTTGCATTCTCCACATACTTTTCATGGAGGTTGTCTATAGTAGCCTTTCCAACGCTACTTCTCCTGATAATTCCTGGAATGATTTATGGAAAATACCTTCTTTATCTGTCGAAGAAAGCCTACAAGGAGTATGGCATAGCAAATAGCATTGTAGAGCAGGCTCTAAGCTCGATTAAGACTGTGTATTCATTCACGGCTGAGAGGAGAATCGTTGATAGATATTCAGATATATTGGATAGAACAACGAAACTGGGAATTAAACAAGGCATAGCAAAAGGTTTGGCTGTGGGGAGCACAGGGCTTTCTTTTGCAATATGGGCTTTCCTTGCTTGGTATGGAAGTCGTTTGGTGATGTACAAAGGAGAAAGCGGCGGAAGGATCTATGCAGCTGGCATTTCCTTCGTACTGAGTGGACTGTATGTGCTTAACTTTCGTTATATATATAAATCAATCTTTCTAATCAGTAGATTCTAATTATATATAAATACAGATTGCTCGTATGTAAATATAATGAGATTCGGTATAAAAGCCATCTTTATATATTGATGAATCTTAAAGTAGCTAGATTTTTCTAAATGATTTTATCAATAAACAATATAGATGCTTCATAAAATACTCATCTTCATCATCATCTTATTAAAGCTTTCTTCCTCTTTAATTTACAATTACATGCCATTGAAGCCTTACTACAACTATACTTCACTATTTAATTATATAACTAGCTTTTCAGCCTTGTAATCATTTATATATGGATTCATAATTGAAACCTTCATCTTTTATAAATCGTGAAAAGAAGAACAAATACTGGTATCTAGGACTTGAGGATGGGACCTCCATGCTTAATCCCCTAGCTAGCTTGAAATTCATTTATTGGGTGCCTCTGTTTGAGGTTTAGTTTTTAATCCTGTAGTATATTTAAATACACTTTGTTGTAGAAAGGTTCTTCCACCAATTAACATATACAAGTTCCATGTTCCTTTAAGCAAAGATCTAAGCTTCTTCTACAAACTCCTAAAGGTTTAGTTCATATGCTCTTATAAATTCATTGCTCTATGAGTCATATTCTGTACTTTGAAGAGATGGAAACTAGCTATATTATTTGATATAACGTTTTTCCCTTCAGCCAAAAATATCGAGTCTCTGGATTCTCATAAAAAGCAAGTATTTTGAACCTTATTTTGCCATGAAATGTGTCACTTTAAAGGAGAGACTTTATTAAATATTATTTTTCTTAGAAGGAAATTAATGGCATTTAGTTAAGCAAGAGGAAAGAAGAGATTGAAATTGGAGTCATCATTTATGCTGCATTTGCGAATATCTTTAGTTATTGTAGTCAAAAGCATTAATTATTTGGTGCAATTTTTAACTTAAAAAGCTTGATTTGAATTTTCAACCCTTTCTCTCCTTTGATCCAACGGTACAAAGTATTGATGTAATACTTTTTGAATAAAAGAGACGTTGATTTATTTTTGTAAAAAAGAAATTGATGTGTATTTATTCTAAAAAAGAAGGTGAATATGATGCATGCAGATCCCTTGGAATGGCACTTCCTGAAGTAAAGTACTTCACAGAAGCTTCAGTTGCAGCAACAAGAATATTCAACAGGATAGACAGAATTCCTGAAATTGATGGTGAAGACACAAAAGGACTTGTATTGGAACAAATTCAAGGAGAAATAGAATTTGAGCATGTAAAATTCACCTACCCTTCTCGTCCTGACTCAATTGTACTGAAAGATTACAGTCTCAAAGTTGAAGCAGGCAAAACTGTAGCTCTTGTTGGGGCAAGTGGAAGTGGAAAATCAACTGCAATTGCACTTGTGCAGCGCTTTTATGATGCAGATGATGGAATTGTGAAGATTGACGGTGTAGATATCAGAAAACTGCAGTTGAAATGGGTTAGAGGGAAGATGGGTCTAGTTAGTCAAGAACATGCGTTGTTTGGGACTTCAATAAAGGAAAATATTATGTTTGGGAAGCTTGATGCCACCATGGATGAAATCATTGCTTCAGCCATGGCTGCAAATGCTCATAATTTCATAAGACAACTTCCAGAAGGTTATGAAACAAAGGTAAGTGGCTCTTAAATTTCATCATGAGTAAGTTGAAGAAAATTTAGTCTTCACTAATTAAGATAATCAGCTGGTGTAATAGGTTGGTGAACGTGGAGCACTTTTATCAGGTGGACAAAAGCAGCGAATTGCTATTGCTAGAGCCATCATTAAGAACCCTGTGATTCTCCTACTTGATGAAGCAACAAGTGCTCTTGACTCTGAATCAGAAAAATTGGTGCAAAATGCCCTTGATCAAGCCTCTATGGGAAGAACCACACTGGTAAATTTGACTAATTTAACTGATATTGGCTACTATATATTACAATAAATAGGTCATTTATAATGTTTGTATACAGATTATGCAATTGCATCATTTTTCTTTTTAACAATTGTTTGATATGTCAGGTAGTAGCACACAAGCTTTCAACAGTGAGGAATGCAGATCTTATAGCAGTCGTAAGTAACGGTTGCATCGTCGAAATAGGCTCACCCAGTGAACTCATCAACAGAACAAATGGCCACTATGCAAAAATGGCAAAAATGCAGAGACAATTCAGCTGTGACGACCAAGAACCAAACCCAGAAACGCATTACTCATCAGCGGCAAGAAGTAGTGGTGGCCGGCTTAGTACATCAAAATCGAGCCCGGCTGTGTTTGCTTCACCACTATCCGTTATTGATAGCCCACAGCCGGTAACTCACGCGCCACCGTCCTTCTCTAGGCTTCTCTCTTTAAATGCGCCTGAATGGAAGCAAGGTCTTGCTGGAAGCCTCTCAGCTGTAGCCTTTGGCTCAGTGCAGCCTATTTATGCCCTAACCATCGGTGGCATGATTTCAGCTTTCTTCGCAAAAACCCACCAGGAAATGCAGGCTCGAATTCGTACATATTCCTTAATTTTCTCTTCTCTTACCTTGATTTCTCTTGTTTTGAATCTTGTGCAACATTACAATTTTGCTTATATGGGTGAACGGCTAACGAAGAGAATCAGGATAAGAATGCTTGAAAAGATTCTGACATTCGAAGCCGCTTGGTTTGATGAAGAGCAAAATTCCAGTGGAGCTTTGTGTTCGAGATTGAGTAATGAGGCTTCTATGGTCAAGTCCCTGGTTGCAGACAGAGTATCCTTATTGGTTCAAACTACTTCTGCCGTTACCATTGCGATGATTTTGGGGTTAGTTGTGGCTTGGAAATTAGCAATAGTTATGATTGCGGTCCAACCTCTCACGATTCTGTGTTTTTATACTCGAAAAGTATTGCTCTCAAGCGTTTCAACCAATTTTGTGAAGGCACAAAATCACAGTACTCAAATTGCTGTGGAAGCAGTGATTAATCATAGAATTGTGACTTCATACGGAAGTTTGGGAAAGGTTCTTCAACTTTTTGATGAGGCTCAAGAGGAACCCAGAAAGGAGGCAACGAAAAAATCATGGCTTGCTGGAATTGGTATGGGGTCTGCTCAATGCCTAACTTTCATGTCATGGGCTCTGGATTTCTGGTATGGTGGTACTTTGGTGGAAAAGGGAGAGATTTCAGCAGGGGATGTGTTTAAGACATTTTTCATATTAGTAAGCACTGGAAAGGTTATAGCTGATGCAGGAAGCATGACTTCTGATATAGCCAAGGGCTCAACCGCAATTGCATCCGTATTCAACATTCTTGATCGCCAATCTCTCATTCCAGGCTCTTCACATGTAAGTAACATACACTTTATCCAATTTTACTCTTTCAATTGAAATGGTAGCCTCAAGTATTACTTTGATAGATGGGTTTGTAAATTTTATCAGGCAGGGGAAGGGTCAAGTGGAAGCAAGTTAGAAAAAATGGCAGGGAAGATAGAGATGAAAAGGGTTGATTTTGCATACCCAAACAGGCCAGAGAACCTTGTGTTGCGACAATTTTCCTTGGAGGTGAAACCAGGAACAAGTGTTGGACTCGTAGGAAGAAGTGGGTGTGGAAAATCAACCGTTATTGGATTGATTCAAAGATTTTATGATGTTGAGAGGGGGTCAGTGAAAATAGATGGGGTAGATGTAAGGGAGCTAGACGTTCAATGGTATAGAAGATACACGGCGGTTGTCAGCCAAGAGCCAGTGATATATTCAGGCAGCATTCGGGATAACATCATGTTTGGGAAGCTTGATGCTTCAGAAAATGAGGTGGCGGAAGCTGCTAGGGCTGCAAAAGCTCATGAATTCATTTCGTAAGTATGCTATGCAAGCTTTTAGTGTTTGAAAATTAACCTAATCTAATTGTTTTTGAGCTAATTTTTTACTACATTATGTTATTTTATTGTAGATCACTAAAAGATGGGTATGAAACTGAATGCGGTGAAAGAGGAGTTCAATTATCAGGAGGGCAGAAACAAAGAATAGCAATTGCAAGAGCTATAATCAGGAACCCAACAATACTGCTACTAGATGAGGCAACCAGTGCTCTGGATGTGCAATCTGAGCAGGTTGTGCAAGAAGCGTTGGACCGAATTATGGTGGGAAGGACAACAATTGTGGTAGCTCATCGACTCAACACCATAAAAAAGCTTGATTCCATTGCCTTGGTTGCAGATGGGAAGGTAGTGGAACGAGGAACCTATGCTCAACTCAAACACATGCGCGGTGCCTTCTTTAACCTCGCCAGCCTTCAATCATAGAGATACAAAAATGGCAAATGGGGAGAGCTTGTTGTTGAATTTATGTCCTATATATGCCAGATTATATTCCAAACCTCCCAGTTAAAATACCTGTATAGTGGTAATTATATCAGTGTAATTACACTAAGAGTTGTGATGAGCAGACTGGACGGTTGTTAATCAGTACTAAGCTTCAATCTTTCATAACCCATTTGTCAATGATTTGTTCAATGTTGGAAAATTTATTAATTATGGGCTAACATGAATTATATTTTGATTTAATCAAACCGGAAAAATACATAGTTCAATGAGATATCCTAATAAGCTTATGTGATAATTCCAAAATTTGTCTAATACACTCATTTTGAATAATCTAGGTTTGACGACTAATATAGGTTTGAGACTATAATAGGCTTCAGGGTTTATTAGGTCTTTGATGGGCAGACCCAATAAACTAATATATAAATTGGTTAGGTCTCATTTTTAAACGCAATCTGAATAATTTAATTAACCCATTTGTTAGTCGTATTAAGCGTGTGTTATTGGAAAGAAAGACCTACACTTTTTGGACATATGAAAAACTGTCGCTTCTTCCATAAGGTATCCAAGAATGACAAATCATAAATAAATCAGGTTTGTCTTAAACTCTATACTCTAAATTCAATATTCTATAATCCATATATTCATCTTTTGGCATATTGATAATCATATTGTTTGATTTATTTTTGATAGAATAATTTATTAACTTTGTAACAGACAACCGATAAGTTGTTACATTAAAAAGGATTTGGTAAAAGAGTAAACGACACATTCCCACCCAAGGTTTGACGAAATCCCAGTTGGTACCTCTGATTACATTTATTCCAGATTCTCACCCTTAAAGTGACGGCAAAGTAGATCGCCGCCTGGCCCGCCTCTAATAGTCCTGCAGCGCACGTTAGCAGACGGCATCCCTAACATTTTTCGCCCTTTTTCTGGCAATTCTTCCACCCAAAATCACCCTTGTCACCACCATTTGAACCTCCATCCTCCCCTTTACAAAAAAAAATTACACTTCACAACCCCTCATCACTCGTCGATCGCCAGCCACGACAGTCGCGACATGCAACTAGTTTTTGCCGATTTTTAGCCGTTTTGAACAGCGAAAACCTCAACCACCACCACCATTTGCTCCTCACATCCTCCCTTACAAAACCCCTAACCTTCCTAGCCACGACAAATCATCGTTTGTCTTCCACCACTTCACCAGAAAACGATCGATGAACACAAACTCTCGGTCAGCGAACGATGACTAAACGGTTGCTAAGGACATAGAGGTTTTATAAAGTTGGAGACGTTGGTTGCAGTGGTGTGTCCAATTGGATTTTCGCCATCGGAATCGACCGGCATCCGGCAAAGAACAGCGAAACCCTAAGCCTAATGATGCTGGCGATTTGAGGGGTCAATGAATCAGGAACTAGAGGGGTTTTAGACGACAGACTACGTGAAAGGTGATGGAGGTGACCAGGGGGTTCGACACCATCGAAAACATCCCAAATCAGGCAAAAGTCGAGAGGGTGTGAGTGACCAAGGGTGTTATTGAGATAATTTAAAAATAAAATGGTAAGTTATAATTCCACTAATTTAGGGGTTAAAACATAATTTTTTAATTTATGGTTAAGGGCATTATGATAATTACACCCTTTATACCCTAAAAATTGGTAATAGTATTATTTTAAAGATGGAAATTTTGAAATAAATGTAACTAGGGTAGCAATCGGGATTTCGTCAGACGTGAGAATATATCGTTTACTCTTGGTAAAATGAGAAGGTTTTCATAACAGAGATTGAAAATTTTATTATAACATGGAGAACTGACACAAAGCACCCTTCAGTTCAAAATGAAAACTGAAGCTGACAAGACGCTGAAAGAAACGAAGTACGACTCGACGTTATCCAAAACATAGATAACCTTTTATTACATAACAAGACACAGGAATTCAGTTTACCAGAAACCACCTAGAAAATCTAGTTGTCAGCCCATTACAAATCTAAATTCCAACAGACTAAACTGGAAACCAAAAACATAAAACAACACCAGCATAACTGAACTTCAAATAAGCCGACTGTCACCGCGGGCTCCCGATTCCTTCATGGATCAACTTGTGCCACCAGCTAAGAAATTCATATTATAATATTAAGAAAAATAAAAAGTTAATCAAATGATGTTTCATTTATAATCAAAATTAAGCTACATCAAATTAAAGACAACTGTGTTTATGGTTAAACTTAAACCTCATAGTAGGTCTCGAGTTTGGCCTTGAGAGAGTTGATCTCCATTCTTAGCTCCTGCAAGGAGGCCCTGGCACTGCCCACATTCAACCCAACGTCAATAATTTCATATGCAAACTTATATATATATATATATAATGAGTTGAAAGTGTTTTTGTTATTTTGAAAATAATTTTAAGATGTAGACATGTTAAAGCATTTCATTATTTGAAAACTTTTTCAAAACAATGTCAAAACTACTATATGTCTGTTCATACATATTATGGGATAACATTTTAATTAGATAAAAGTGAGAAAATCACCCTTCCATATCTCCTTCCTTGCAATCTTCTCTTGTTCTGTTAACTGCAATCTTGATTTTGTTGGCACCAATGCTGCAATTTATGACGATCAAGAGTAAAGTTTATGTATATTTTTATATTTATTTAAGATGATTTTTGTAAGAATGATCTAAAACATTTCTTGTTTTCATTTACCTGGCGCTGCTACCTTTGAGCTGATGAAGGTACCTGTCTAACTTAAGGTAATCGACAGGAGATTTGTTCCTGTATCATCGATCAAACCCATTATTAATTGTAGTATTTTCATTATATATAGAAGAAAATTTGATATTGTTAAACTTACATTTCTTCCTCAATGATAGCTAAATGGTTGAAGGAATCACTAAAGAACACGTTGACGACTTCCTCAACGAAATTAGGATTCTCTTCGTTTTCCAGTTGTTCGAGTTGAATGAAATAGTTATCCAGAATTTCCTGCAATAAGAAACGTAGAAATCTTCCCTTATTAACTTGGCTTTCATCATTTTAACTCTTTTATGTGTGCGTCAAAATCATCAAAATTCAAATTGCATGTTCCTAAATAAGACAATAATTACTTTTTCCAAAATAAAAAGCAAATGCATGCATTTAAATCATATGACAAAATCATTTATGTAACCTTCACATAAACATTAATGTAGTATAAGAATTTCCATGAAAAATATGATAAAGATAGAAAAGATAATTAATTAATAAAGGTGACAAATTTTATATAATCTATCCATTTTGCTAGGAAGATAAACACTTCCAAAAATCTAATTTTCTTGTACTAAAATGGCTGGCAGGAAATTGAACCAGTGAGGGAGAAAGAGGAACCTCATCGAAGAAGGATTGCCTCATTGCAACAATCTGTTCTTTCAAATCCGCCATTCTGAAAGAAACAACGGAATCAAAATAATTTTAGCAGCGTTAAAAGGAGGAATATCAAAAACAGAAAGTGATTAAAAACAAATGAATATTTCAAAGCAATTTCTTCAACTCAAGTTAAGAAGAACTGGAAAAAATTTACTTAGAGAGAAAGTGATTGAAGTTTTGGATACAAAAAAGACGAGCCAAATGGGAGTATATAGAGCCAAGAAGAAAACTAACAAGAGTCAGCCTATGTATAAGCATACCATTCTTCATTCTGAACACTCAGATTACAGTATTGATTGTTAGAAATAATCAGTTGTAGACAATATAAACTTGTTACTCATATTACGTTAACGATAGTGGACACGTTGCACCATAATAACCGAGTGATTTGTGATTAAAGGAAACTAATAACTTGATTTAGAATCGTATTAAAACTAATGACACGTGGTGAAGTAAGCGGTTGACGCGTAACCGTTAGCATTGTAATACTTTTTTATACTAAAATATTGAAGTATTTCTCTGTAAGTAATGAACTTAGAATTTTAAATCTTTCTCAAAAGAGTCTCAGATTTTATATCTATAACTGTAGATATTGAATTTAATGAATTGGATTCTCTAAAATTTCCATGTTATAGTTAAACAACATAGAGGAGATTACCTTTCCAAACCTTAAATCACTCTGTGGATTATACTCTTATATCACTAAATACCACTTACAATTGAAAGTTTTAATGCCAGTTGTAGCTTGCTAGTTGTTTTGGAAGATTATGATAAGTAGTGGTATTAGAAATAATAATATTATACGTAATGTTGTAGGAAAGTTGTTATATTAATCATAAAATATAAATTTTAAAAAGAACTCTTAAAATTTGGACTTCAATTCTTCAGAAAACGAAGAGTTCATTGAAAGATCAAACTTTTATTTAATATACTAATCCCAATTTTAATATATTGAGTGAGATTTGATTTTAAGACATCTTGTTAATCACAAAATATTTTAAACAACTAACCACTAGTGTATTAATACTTGAGTCATTTCTATTTTCAATTTCTCTACTCGATTAATTATTTTCAGTGATCTAAAAGACTACCTATGTGTTAAATGATTTTCATTTCAATTTGAAGCAAAAACATTGTTAACAAATTAAGAAATTGTGTACAGTGAATATATACTTGCGTACTTCTTAAAGTGTTAATAAAGATAGTCACTGAAACTTTTATCTGATCGATAGTTTCAAGATCTCGAGAGATTAGTTGAAATACACGTAAACTAGTCCGAACACCCCAGATCATAAAATATATATATATATAAGTGACTTTTCCTAATCAAATAATAGTTTAATGACGTTTTCTCACCCACATCCTTCTAAAATATCATTTTACTATCTAAATTTATATTCCGTTTTCGATTCTGACATCGTTACGACCCTACACCACCACCATTCTCTTCCTCAATCATCACTCATCAAAACCCCTAAAACCCTATTCCCGTCGACCCCGTTAATAGCCCGCAATAGAGCGATTAGGGTTTGCACAACCACCCCTCCCAAGTCAAATTCCGATCAATCTTAATCACCAAAACCCAACCTTCTACCATTAAAAGACTCATCGACCTCCCCTCTTCAAAAACTTTAATAGTCTGGATCGAGTTTACTCTCTGTTTATTGTCGGAATATAAATTTAGGTATTAAAGTGATATTTTAAAAATCTGTGGGTGGGAAAGTTCTTAAACCATTATTGGGGTGGGAAAAAGTCATTAACTCAAATATATAAACGTGATTTGCGATAGTGTTTGCTCCCAGTTCAAAAATATTTACGGCTGTGTTTGTTTTGTTATTTCTACACTATCCTATCCCTATCTTATCCAAAATATATATTTGTTTCCCTATTCTGAAAATTCAATTATATTTTATTCAACAATTTTTAAACCCCATATGTTTGTTAATTTAACTAAACACAAAAAAAAAAAAAAAAGGTTTAGAAATTGACCAAACACCCCCACCCACCCACATTTGCCAGATTCTGGCCACCACTCTTGGGAGGTGACTGAAATCTAGTGTAATGGTGCACTACCAGCTAGATCTGGCTGCTAACACGTCGATTTAGCCATTTCCGATGGATCTGGCTAAAAAGACCAGATCAACGACGGCCAAATCTTGGTTGTCATCGACGACCAAACATGACCATATCGACACACGATCGGTCAGATCCAGTCGATTGTGCGCCATTACAACGACTGTCGATCACCCTCCGACGATGGTGACTGACTGCCGACATTTAATGAATGGGTGAAGATGTTTTTGTTCATTTTTAATGTTTTATTGTAAGAGTGTTTAACTGAATTAACAAACCTAAATGGGTGTTTTTGCTAATTTCCAAATCATATCAGATAATAATCACTAAACTCAATTTTTTCAAAAATTCTATCCACATAATAAAACAAACACACATTCCAGATTAAAAATTACTGTAGAAACCATTTATGCAACGGCTGTCCTAATAAAAAAAGAGATATTCGACACCAAAATAAATTAATTAATAAATATGAGAAGAAAAGGGACAAACTACAAAGCTTCGTTGTCGCAGCTTCTCACACAAATAAACTGTATATATAAATTAAAAGACCAATATTTTCTGCAGATACAACATGCTTTTTTCTCACCAATACCAGTTTAAAAAAATAAAATTATAGTACTATATATAAATAAAGAAGAAATTAATTAATAAATCCCTTCACGCTTGAGCTGAAGGAAGAATTGGAGCTGAAATTGGAGAAAGAACACAAGACAATGGTTCAGAAGAAAGATATTTAGCACCGTTTTTATCCTTCTACCATGTCTTCATATTCATGTATATACTGGAACACCTCTAATTTGTTTTTAATACTTGGTATTTAATTTGCCTTGACCAAACCGACAAAAATTGAGGATTGATCTACCGTTTTGTAGTAACAATCCTATTACGTTTGTTACTAAGAAACAGTGTTATTTGGCGGTCAGCTCTGTACAGGTCAAGAATGGCAGCTGAAGGAGGAACATGCTGTCCTATGGGGTGTATCGTCACTATGTCATCCTGCAAACCTCATCTCTGAATTAACTTCAATGGGTCAAAGAGAAATGGATTTGAAGTAGGAGAGAGAGAAAATGGTTGCATTACTCCCTTTTTTTTTCAGTGTCTTTTCTGGCGCCTTCTCCTAGGTTTTAGATCAACAACAATGATAGAAATGTTATCAGAACTGTTTTTTCCATACGCTATATCCTTGAGATTATCAGCCACAGCTTGTGCCGGAGAAACCTCTTCATTTATCATCCTGCGTCTCCGTCTTAGCATGCGACGAGCAACCTCTCCAACCTCTTCGTTTGTCATGACATCCCAAAGCCCATCACTTGCCAATATCAGACACTCATCCTCATCACTTCTTGTCACGAAAGTTATCTCTGGCGCTGGAATTATCCATGGCCTTAAGTACCAATCACCTGCCCACACCATTAACTAATAAGTACTATAAATAACAACCCAATCATCTCCTGTTCACAAGTCCCATTTCTTTAAAAATAGAATAGAAACCAGTAGCATTTTAATGTTAAGTGCTCACAACCCAACAAACAAACAAACAAGCCTATCATGGACGCACGTTTCAATTTCCTACTGTAATATATAGTCCATCATCTGAAATGATAAACCCAAGCAAAAATTATCAGAGGCTTCAAGTAATATGAACCAACAACTAAATCCCTATTAAAACATATGGTCGTACTTATAGTAATGGTGGTTTTGTTGACAATAATCTTCATGCATGTGTTTTAAATTTGTTGTTTATTCATTTTCCTAAATGTCAACAAAACGTAATTAGATTTCCTGCAATGACAAGAACCACAAAACGTCCACATGACCACAAGATGATGCAAGGGAAATAAGAAAATCGGGGTCCAGGTGCCAAAGCGTAAGACACCAAGGAGAAATGCATAACACTATTAGAACTTAAGGTATTCTAACACGCTTATGAACTAGCTTCTCACATTATTATGAACTAGCTTCTCAAATTATTAACAGTCACTTTGTTTTGTCTTTTCCAGAAGATCACTTAAAATTTCAACACTAATGGTAAAGGAAAGAGCTTAGTTATGCACATCCTGATGATGATGGTGGTGGAGAGAGCAAAAAGTTATATGCTTTTTATCAATGATACCATGGAAGCCAAAGCTTCCAAAATTGCTGAGCAAGAAATCTGAAAAAAGTGTGAGGAATAGAGTAAAAAAGAAACCTATAGCTCTGGACATAGCAAGAACTCCAAAAACCCTAGCACCATTCCAGTTTATGACTTTCCCTCCCTCTCCTTCGATTCTCAAGAGTTCGTCGTGCCTATCAGGCTGTAAAACCAACAAGAACAATATCTTCTCAGCTCTATGAATAAAACATACTTCCGAGAAAACCATAACTTGTCAATAATTACTAAAGGGGCTTCTTCATTCTTTTTAAGCCCTTCATATATATGTATAATAAAATTCATACCATGTACTACTCCAGGCTACATTTCCTTGGACCAAAATATGTTTTAGGTATTAAAATTGTATTTTTTTTTTTTTAGTGTGAACATACAACAGTTAAAAGAAGTGTGTCAATAAAATAAATCCAGCAAAAACAAGTAAATAAGAATGGAACATCCTGGAAAGAAATTAAAGAGAGAGGAGCAAAAAGAATTTTGATATGACCTTCTGATCGACGGTCAAGGGTATTGTTTCAGTCCCGCGACACAGCACAGCCCTTGAGTCGCCACAATTGGATGTAATAATCTGACAACCGGATAGAACCGTAACTACAGCAGTTGATCCAACCATTTCTGGTGCTATAGCTTCCGTAAGGACCTCATTGTCAGTTCTCTTAAAACCACTAGAAAATGCCATTTCCCATTTCTTCTGCCACCCACATCCATCAAAGGCTTCTCGATCCCACTCTTCAGCTATCACCTCGTGCATTCGCTCAGCACAAAATTTAGCCACCTGACAGTTACCATCAAAATTAAGGGTAGCATCAGATGTAAATAAAAATTTCCCAACATTAATGTTTCCTGGTCATTTAACCAGTCACAAAATGAGCAATGCTGCACTTAACAAGTGTATATCCTATTTTGCAGCCAAAAATGATAAAATAATTATAAAAAGAATAATTATATAATTTATGGTATCCTCTTTATCATTATATCACATTTTTAGATCAGTTATAATACCTACAATGCAAGTATAGCATTATCGTTACAAAAATTTAATTACAATGTCAAATAGAAGCCCACAACAAATGATTCAATTTAGGGCTCTCTTGAATCCTAGGATTCGAATGGGATGATTTTGCTAAGAATAAAGATACAACACCAAGTTATTTATCTATTCCGAATAACATACAGCAACAACTCCAGAATACATACCCAAATCCACCAGATGGCTCTACAATTGGATGATTTCAACCATTCAATTTGTTTTTCAAAATTAAAGAAAAAAGAATTAAATTTCACTCTAATTATTAATACTTTGATAACCTGTCCAAGCCTCTCTTTTTAGCAAATTAGAGCACACATTGTCTACTGATTAACTCCAGTACTGTGTGAATTTATGTGGGTTAATAATGCCGAAGGGAAAAATGAAAATATTTAACCTTGACATGTTTGGTGAATAGGAAGCCACTAATCAAGTATACAGTACACATGAGTACATAATTTATCGCATTTATGAAAGATAATGGTATTTTTGCTTTCTAGTCAATCAACAAAGATATTTTGATGGTGTGAAGGCTATTGGGTATTGACACGTTTCAGCACCATTACCTACCACTTAGCTGTATGAAAAATGACACGCAAACTTTAAAATCTGCAGTTCCTGCCCACCATTTAAAGGAAAATAAACTAAAAAAAAAAAAAAAGAAATACAACTTGCTTTATAACTGATGCCAGCCAGGTGGCAAACAGACGAACTGTGATCCCATCATAAGTCATAATCTTCAGAAACGAAACCAGTAAACGTGTCGCAAGATCAAAGGTCTAAACCCCACTAGATTTTATTTTCCAACAAAGAAAGGAAAGATCATGATCTTGTCTGAACACCATTGATTTTTCTTTCATTTTCAACAGAAACTTGATGACAATTAATTTCTGCTTTTTTTATAATGAATCAGACGGTGATGATACGTCTGTAACGACGATTATCACGCATAGTAGTGACGTTACACATACCTCACATACAGAACTTTCCTTAAGGTCACCGGCTTGGAACTTAAAATAATATCTGGACGGCTACCAAAAACACGTGTCTATGAACGGTCCTATAAAATTCTCCTATACAGCCACTGTTACTATTACACGTGTCTTCACTATTCAGAATAAATTATTGCACCCTATCTAAGGAGATAGAATAATTTGATATATGAACTAAGAAGCCCAAAGAAAATACAAATATATACAATAAAAAAGAGTAATGCTACCTCCAAGAATCCAGGTCCTATAGTTTTTAATTATTCATTTCTTTTAATTGAAAGGAAATGGTAAATACTAAATAGGAGTGGTTAAATTTTGAATTTCACAAACATCAGGAAAGCATTTACCTGCGAGCCACCATGGCCATCATAGACGCCGAAGAAATGGACGGGAGAGATCTCAGCAGATGTTCTGGAACCGGGAGCCGTACAACCACCAACGTGATCGCACGTGCGAGACATGAAGGCTGGTCTAACGGCGATGGCGTCTTCCATCTCTCTCCGTCTCCCAATCACGGAAGCAAACCCCCAGTTAAGTCCTTGATTATTCCTTCCCACACACTTTGGCCTCGCAGTTACCATCGCCGTTAACTCATTGTTGGAAAGAACGGGGTCCACCAGCCTAGGGATTACCGCTTCCTCCACCAGAATAACCGGGATCTCGCCGGAACTAGTGGAGATGTCTCCAGAGCTAGAGGTGCTTCTAGAATCTTCAGTGGTGAGTATGAATGATAGGCTTGAACTGGTAGAAGCGAGATCAGTGTCAGGGAGTGAATCGATTCGGTCGAGTTGATGCTCTTCTTCTTCCTCTAATAAAGGTTCCATGTAGTAACTAGTAAGTGGTGAGAGAAAGAGAGAGAGAGAGAGAGAGGGGAGAGTGAGAGAATAGAATGAGATAAAAGAAGAGAGAAGGGAGTGATAATAGAGTGACACGTAATATAGAGATATGAGTCGATGACACACGCATTTGAAATGAGGAAAAGAGGCATTGATTGTAAGTCGTACTCATTCGCTTTTTGAAGCACCGCCACGTGTCTTTTCCTAATCCGGCGCTGCCACGCTGGTGTTGTGGTCGAGGTTGGGACACCGATTTATTATTTAATTTGGTAAAGTTTCTCTGGTGGCCTGTGTTCAATTAACAGTATGTACCCGCAATCAACGCATGATGTGTCAGCTTGTGGGTGAATAGATACTGAATTGTGTGATCCAGTTGTCCAGCATTGTCTGCAAAAGATCTGGGCGGTGATAATTAGGATAACTTTTTCCAGTGAGTATGATGTACTAGATTATAGACGATATGGAGACTTTATTATGTGGCACGTTGCGAGGGAGTGGGTCCTATCCGTTAGGTAGAATTAGATAATCTGTGTTAAATAGGAACAGTACTTACCTACTGTGAAGTGCCACGTCCAAAAGTTTCGTATCATTAGAGAATTGAAAAGAAGTCGGACGGCCAGTATTAGCACATCATTTGCCAACACTTCATCACGGATTAAGAGAGGGATGGTGATCCACGGCAAGCAAATGGGACCCACGATAGACACAGAATCGGTACTCCGGTGGAAGGGTCCCACTCATCACTATCAAATCAGTAGGGTCTTATGGGATTCCATTAGATGAAATGGCACTCCGTTAAAAAGCAAAATAGGAATCAACACCTGGGATCCGACCCCACTTTTTTAATTGGCCACGTATCACTCCATCAGGGGTTGGTTCTTCGGTCTTCCACAAGACTTGGATAAATGTCTTGAAAGGAGAGATTCCTTGAAGTCCCTTAATTACGGTGTTATCCTAGCCTTATGATTCTCACATTACGTGTCAACGTAATAAAATAATTATTTTAAAATTTATTAATCTATATAGTCATATTTAGTTTCAGATTTCTCTTTCTTTTTTTATGTTAATTTTAAAATGTGTGGGTTGGAACCAAAGATTCGGGAAAATCAGAAATTAGAATAAGTTAATCACGACACCTAATCCAATTTTGTACTTAAAGCTGGAATGATAAATAGTCAGCTTGCTATCTAACTTTGTAGACAGAAGAAAATAAGGAGATGTTGCGTGTGGAATATCGTATCTAATCTAGAGTTGTTTTAAGGGGAGATCTTAGCGTGGCTAATTGTTGATTAGTTACTTGTTGCCGACAGAAGTTGGTAGAAGAGCAACTTAGTTGTAGCCACAATCAATCTAGGACTCCCCTGATTTTATATTTATTTTAACTTTTTTACTTCCTCAAGGTTGTTGAATGCACCAAACTCTTTTTTGAACCATCTCTAAAATTTTCTGTTTGGTTAGATTCTAAGTTTTTAATGGGTATGTAAATGTAGCCATAGTGTTTATCAGTTTATGTGAGAAGCATTTGACTCCATTTGCTTAAGTTTTTAAAATAGTATTCAATACTTCAATAGTGAATAAGATTTAATCAAATAATATACGATTTTGAGAATGTGTTTAGTGCATTTTTGGAAAATATTTATATTATTTTTTAATCTCTTACATTTGTTAATTTAACTAAACACCTCCCCACAATAAAAATTTATAAACTAATAAAAACACCCTCATCCACCCAACTATTGCCTGCAGCTAGCCACCACCGTCAGACGATGGTTGAAAGTTGCCAGAATGGCGTACGATCAGTCAGATCTGACGGATCGTGCGTCGATGTGACCTTTTTCGATCAGATCCATGGCCAAAGATCTAGTCGTTGCAACAATCATATCTTAGTCGTCGTTGACGACCAAACGACTACCTAAAATCTAGATATGACTATCGTCAACGGCCAGATCTTTGGCCGTAGATCTGGTCAAAAATAACTAGATCGGTACACGATTGGCCATATTTAACCGGTTGTGCGCCATTCCGGCAACTTTCGACCACTATTCGGCGGTGGTGGCCAGCAATAATTGGGTGAATGGGAGTGTTTTATTAATTTATAAACTTTTATTAAAAAATGTAATTGTTAAATATTTTGAGCTGAATAGTATATAACTGAATTTTGAATTAAATAGTTAATATTAAAACAAATATGTATTTCACTAGATTGGATAGGATAATAGGGAAGGATCGAGTTTGAAAAGTATACCAATATATATATATATATATATGGTTTTTAACCCCGACCTAATTGATAAGTGTATCTCACTTATATATGTATTTTTTGTTTTAACAAGTTTAGCCTTATTTGAAATTATTAAAAAGACTATAATTTATAAATACACTCAGGGACGAACCCACCCCCTTTGAGGGTATGGCATACCCTTAAATGTAAAAATAAATAAATAAAAAAAAATAAAAAAAAATTAATAAATTTGGGAAAAGCTAAACTACTGTAGAGAAAACCTAACCTCTGAACACAAACTCACGCTCGCTCTTCTCTTTAACTTCAACCTCTGAATTCTAAGGTATTTGCTCTTTCAACTATTTTGTGCCTATTTGGTTGCCCAGAAAATAGGTTAATTTTTCTACTTTTTTTTTTTTTCTTTTGATGTGTTAGGTTTTTTCACTTTATTTTTGTGGTCTGAATTCTTAGTTTTTTTTGTTTAACTTTTGTTCTGTGTTTCATTGATGAGAAAATGAGATAAAGTTTTGTTCATTATTATTTTTGTAATTGTCTTTATCTTTTGTAGTTTGCTCTAAATTCTACGGTTTTATTTTATTTTATTGAGCTGTTTTTAGTTTGTTAGGTTGATGAGAAAATGTGACTAAGTTTTGTTCATTTTTTTTACAATCCTTTTGTTTTGTATTTTGCTCTGAATACTACGCATTACAACCAAAATGGTCTACGGTAACACTGGATAGTAACACTTTTATTTAAAGTGTTACGTAGACTATTTATGATAACACTTGATGTTAAAATGTTATAATAATAATTTTTATTTGTAACACTTTAACTTTTTATAACACATTTTATATTAATAGTAACTTTTTTTTTTTAAATGTCACTAATATATGTCTACCGTAGCAATTTTAAAGTGTTACAATAGACTTAATAATATAGTAGTTTTTTTATAATGCTACCATCTAATAAAAATACGATAACATTTTATAAGTATTACTATAAACCCAATTATTTACCGGCAAACAAAATATTATTCCTGCCAATATGAAATGAGGTTGATTTTGTCTCCTTTTTTTTTTTTTTTTTTTTTTTTAGGGGTCAAATTCATATTATTAGGGGTTTACTTTGTCACTTTGTATTCATGTAGGGACCAAAAAATTGTTTTACATATACCCAAATATTAACCGGGAAAATACACTTAATACCGCCATTTTTCATTAAGGCAAAGCAAAAGTTCCCACCCATTTTCCATCAAGGCAAAGGCAAAAGTTTCCAAAGGTTTCAAATGTAAAATATTAAAATAAAAAATAAAATAAAAAATCTTTAAACTTTTCATACTCTTCGATTCTAAGATCTCACCCGATTTTACAAGTTTGTTTTTGTTCATTTATTTGTGCATATTAGTTATGTGATGAATTTGAATAAAACATGGTGGGTCATAGTTGGATGATGCGTTGGGCTCTTGTGAACTGGTCGCATGGTAGTCTTGGATTCAGAGTGTGGTTGATGTGGTTGGGGTGCTACTGGGTTGTGGTTGTGAGGGCTACTTGGGGTACTTGTGTGGGTGTTGGTTTAAGGCGATTTGCTGGTTTATGAATGAGATTTTTCCATTGACTCCTGTTATGTGGCAAGAGTGGGCTCGAGACGAAGCTCGGTATGTTTTAGCTTTTGCAATTTGTGTTCTTGTTATTGATTTCATGATCAAATTTTGATCGCTTAGGGTTTATGGTTACCGAGAGAAAGTATAAAGAGAAAAATTAAATTGATTCATATGAAAGGAGGAAGTGTTTATTGTTTGGGGTTTAAATGGTGAAAATGATGTCCAATTAAAGTTTATGTGACTTTATCTATTGAACCTTAGCTCAAATGTTCGCTTAATTGAGTAAAAGAAATGACGTTTTGGGCTTTCTTTCTTTCTATTTTGTTTTTTCGTATGTTGCAACTAGGAAGCAGTGAGGGTTGACTTGGGAGGTTAGTTTTTGATAATTTGCTGTTTTCTAATCTTTTGTTTGTTTATAGATTATGAGTTCCCTCTTGCCATTGCTTTAATAGACAGCCTACTTGCCCTCTTGCAAAACTCATTTCTCTTAGTATAAGCGTATTTGTTTCTCTAATGTTGAAAACCAGTAAGTGTACCTCCTGATTACAGTTACCCCCAAAGCAAACAAATAAAAGGGAGGTCAGCTAAATTTTAAGATTTTGATTTTTTCTTGTTCTACATGACTGACACTAAAGCTTTGGATGTACTTTAGTATTTTATCGCTTTGTATAGCTGAAGGTAGTTTCTTGTTGATTCTCTGCTCTAAGGCATTTCTAGGGATTGAGAAGATTTATGAAAGAGGAGTTTCTGATTATCTGGTAGGTTCTTGTTATCATTTTGGATTTTGAATTACTTTATGCATTGATTTATGGATTAAAACATAGTGATCATAAGAATTCTCACTTGTGGTATTTTTAGAGATTTTCCTAAAAATAATTTGTTGATAAAAATAAAGGGTCCGTTTGTTTTATTATTTTGGATAAGATTTTGGGAATAATATTGGGTAGTTGAATAGGGGAGTATTACAAGGTAAATTTTAAAAATTTACAAAAAAAACAGCCTAGGTTTTCTAATTTAACTAAACACCCCAATATATAAATTTTTTGTAAAATGACAAAAACACCCTCACCCACCCACAGTGCCAGATTCCGGCCACCACCGCTGGAATCTGGTCAGAAAATGGCGTTACGACACATATCAGTTGGATTTGGCGGGTAAGGCATCGATATGGCATTTTCCGACCAGATCCACCACGAATCTGGTCGGAAAAGGCCAG